AAAAAAAAAAAAAAAGTCCCGATTTTTAGAAAGAATGCATGACAAGCTAAGGAACAGTGGGAGAATGGGAAGGAAATATACAGTTTTCAGCTGCTGAAAAGGTTAGTGTAACTCCATTTGGGAATGAAGAGGTTAATGTAACTTCCTTTGGAAATGAAAAGGCTAATGTAAGCTCCCTACTCCCCTCCTGGGCAAGGTATCAGAAGGAGACTGCTCCCTCCCTTGCTTCTAGGCAAGGACAATTAGCTTAGGAGGAGCCAAAGTATCTGGAACAAACAAGTAGGCCTCCCCTAGAGGAAAGTGACCAGATGTCCCGCTTTTGGTGGGACAGCCCTGATTTTTAACAATTTGTCCTTCGTCCTGAGAGGTTTTGGTATTTTTAAAAAGCCTCGATTTTTGGAAAGAATGCAGGACAAGCTAGGGAACACGGGAGAACAGGAAGGGAATATATGGTTTTCGGCTGCTATGTGGCTATTTCTCCAGGATATGCATTTTATATTATTTTTGTTAATTTTATAATGTTAAACTTTAATAATAACAAATAATTGTTGAGAATTGATTATCAAGAACTGCTTATCAAAGTTTGCATTGTTGTCAGGCCCCACCCCCCCAATGGTGTCCCGCTTTACCAGTGTTAAAATCTGGTCACCTTAGTCCCTATGGATGTGCTGGGGACGCAGGGTCCCGGAGCCTGAGAGTGAGTCTGAGGGCCCTGCTTGAGAATAGCTCACGCACATCCCACTCCCATGCCCTACATGGCCAAGACCCATTTTCCTTCTGCATGTGGCATTCGTTCTGCTCAGCTAATCCTCAAAGGCCTGCCGGGCAAAGGGTCTTCAGTACACAGTGTCCTCCAGATGTGTTTCCTTTGGAACCAGACCAAGAGGAAGTGTCATGACAATGGTCTGTCCAGAGCTTCAGTTAAAGCTGGTTTCCAAAGGGCTTTCAGGGCTCTGTGGGGCCAGGGGCGGGTAGAACTGTCTATAGCTCCCTGACTCCAAACTGAGCTGCTCCAGTCTACCTGTTCCATACAGGAACATGGATGCGCAGCCGCAGCTTCGAGGCACCATTGTGATATAAATGAACAGATATCCGCCTGCATGCACAAGTGCACACATGTTTGCAGGGTGCAAGTAGATCTTACCAGTGATCAGCGACTTAGAATGATGGCACAGAATTTGAGGTGCTTTCTGCCTGAGGGCAGTAATTGTCCCATAGCAGGGTCTCACTAAATACTTGGTGGTGGGGAATGAATGGATGGTTTGATGTTGTATGTTACTGAGGCACGGAAGTGCCATCTGGGGGAAGGAAGGGGCTCAATGGTCTATTAACTATTGGTAAATGGGCCATAGGAGAAAAATCCCTGTTTATTCTACACATTGAACGGAATCCTCTCTCCCCGCCTTCCCTGCCCCTTCTTTTTCCCACAGCTGCTCTGCAAAGGGCCAAGAGCTTCCAGTCTCCAAACCGGAGCATATACCAGAACTGGAGAAGAGAATTCCAGTCCAGTGAGTCACCAGCTCTGGGTGGGGGGTGAGGGGGGGGCGTTGAGGAAGGGTGGGGTGGGATGGCAGGGAGGAGCAGGGGTGGGGTGTGACAGGGTGGAGCAGGGCAGGCCGGAGCTCTGGCTTATTCTCAGGGCAGCTATTCTCATTCCTGACACGGTGTCTCTGTGGACATGGCCTCCTGTGTGTGAGGAGCCAGAAGTGAAACACAAGCTTGACTTTTCCCCTGCTGACTAGAAGCATTTTCCAAGGGATTGGGGGCCTTCCTCCACCACCCTAGTCTAGAATCATGGGGCCTTAGGACTCTGCAGCCTCACCAGGATGCCTTAGCATCCTGCTGCAAGCTTTTTGACACACAGATGGGTACACTGAGGTCCAGGGACTCTAGACCTTTTGATTCTGTACACTGGAGTTGGGCTAAGAAGTCAGCTTAATGGCCCCATGCAAAATAGGAAGCTGTGTACACACACAGGCGTGCTTGCACACACACATGCACACATCCACACACACATGTGCACACACACACATACCTGTTTACAGGTACATGCACACACAGGCACACAAATAGACACACCCACACACACACAGCCCCACTCCTTGTTCTGAGCAGGCCTTGGCCCACACAGCCCTGAGAGATCAGGCTGGGTGAGGATCAAGGCCATGGTGGGTGCCAGGGCAGCAGGCCCCCTATAGGGTGCAGTGACCACACACAGTCCCACAGCATCCTGGGCTCACCCCCCAATTGCAGGTATCGCAGCAGTTACAGAGCAGGAATTTCCTGCCCAGCCCCTGAGTGAGGGACAGGGGACTCTTCATTAGATTCCAAGCCCTTTGCTGCCTTCCCCTCTCCAGCCTCACCCCAGGAGAGGTGGACCCAGGAAGGCCTTGGGTTAAACAGAGTTTCTATTAAGAAACATTGTACCATTGGAACCAAGTCCTGGCTTTCCTTCCTCCTGAGTCGAGGCTAACTCCCGGCCAGTGAGTCATTCCCTGGCACGTCTGGACTGACCACCCTCTCTCTAGGTCTGGCTGGGAAGGGGCACCCTGGGAGTGGAAACCAGACCTGCATTCCTAGGCAGGCGGCCTCACCTGGAACAACCCCAAATGACTCTTCAATCGCCTAGCAGCCCCAGGCGTAAGAGCAGAGGACCAAGGGACTCACCATTTCCCTTTGTCCATTATCTTGCTTCCTGCCTTGCTCCAGCTTTCCCCAGGTCCCTACTGCCTACCTAGGACAGGACTGTGTGGGTGCAAAATCTATTTTGACCCTTCCAGCTCTCTTTTCTGAGTGCTACAGTGTGGAGTATTCAGTCTTGACCTCAGGAACTCCCAGCCCCCAGCCTAGAGTGAGACAGAGGAGGCCCCTCACCCCCCAGGAGGGTCAGGTTGCTAGAGGAGGCACAGGAGAGAGAGGACTTGAGCAGCTCCATGGTTTCTGGGACAGGCCTGGGGACCTCAACCTTAGTTATATATGAAAGCTGGTTTAAGGGCTTGAGTTTGAATCTTCTCTATCTGCCTAGTGTCTAGCATGATCTGGCCCCGGGGGGAACCCAGTTCTTATTTGATGGATTAATGAAGGAACCAAGAAACAAGCTGGCTGGACCCAGTGCAAATGGAGCACATGGCCTGAGGCCTGAGCAGGATGCTGCCCCTAGAGGGCGCTCCAAGACCTTGAGAGGATTTGGGCCTCCGAATTCTGTGAAGCTGCACTCCGGACTCCCAATCCTTATGAAAATCCCAGGAGCCAGTCAAAAGCTACCAGAACCATCTTTCTGGTTATCTTTATTTTTCCAAAGGGACCTCTCTATGGATGGGCTGGTCTTGTAACAGGAAGTGGAACTCTGGGTAATATCCCCCGGCCCCCAGCCTTGGACGGCCCTTGGTACCGTCCCCCAGCTGACTGTACTACAAAATGACCTCTAGGACCTAGGAGAAAGGTCGCCATAGCCAGAGGATCCCATGGGGAGGCCTGGAAGCTGTCATGCAGGCCCTGGGCTGCTCATCACCCCCTGTGCACAAAGGGACCCTAAGGGCCAGCAGCACCCAAGAGCAGACCCCTGCAGAGAGCAGGCCAGCCCTGTGTGGACCATACCCAGATTTCATGCAGAGGGCTGAGAGAGAGGCTCTGAGTTAGCAAATGAGGGTTCCTGGGTCTGACAGAGAAACCCTGGCTGGGGTGAGTGTGCAGCCCCCTTTTGGAATGGGTCAGGGGTTCGGCAGTGTCATTATTGGACACCACTTGTATGCATGTGACAATGGAAAGGGATGGACTTTGCATTTAGCACACAGGTAGCATTTCCTCCGTGTCCTACACCACCCGGCCACTCTCTATCCCTTTGCCTTCCCTCAACCACCCCACACAGCCCCACCACACTGCCTATTTGGGGGATGAGGAAACCCAGGGTTAAGTAACCTGCTCAGTGATAGGCAGCTGGTAGAGGGTGGAAGGGGAGGGGTTCCAGGCTCCCTTTGACCATCTTCTGAGGCAGCAGTTCTCAACCTGTGGGTGGGGACCCCTTTTTAACAATGAAAATGCATTGCGGTGCTAGGAAGGTTGAGAACCTCTGTGAGGGACCCCAAAGGTGCCGGCCCAGGCAGGGGAGGTTTCCACTGGCTTCCAGCTGGGCTCTGTTCCCCTTCTCTTCCTGCCCCTCCCTGGTCTGCCCTACATCCCGGGCCACACATGGATGGCAACCCAGGGCCAAGGGTTTGGTTTCCCCCACTCCTTGAGTGAAGACCACATGTGGAGAGAGAGACCCTAGACCTGGGTGGGATTGGAGAATGGAGGAGGGAACAGCCTCTGCATCCTGACCTTGCGAGCCCTGGGGCCTTTCTGTCAGGCTTGGTTCTCAAGGTGGCCCTAGCTTGTGTTAGAACGTCCCCTGAGAACTGCTCAGGGGAGCAAAAAGGCAGTGTGTTGAGCTGAGGGATGTGAGACAGGTGAAGGCGTCTGATCCAGGAGACGGCAGAGGGAGGCAAAGGAGGGGCCAAGGAAGAGGGGAAAGGAATTTGGCAGGAATTTGGCAAGCTGAGGACAGGAAGCAAGGCAACAACTGACTCACAATTTTTGCCTTTTTAGGCTCGAACCTTCTCCTTGTGGGCTGCAGCGGGGTGTGGGCAGCGGGAGGCAGGCCAGCCACTCCCCAGCTGCTCCTTCCTGCCGCCCTCAGATAGATCTCTTCCCAAGTTACCTTTGCCTCCGAAGTGCTCGCCATCTGCTCAGACCCCAGGGCTGGGACTCCGGGCTGACGTGCTCACCTTTGTGTATGAGGAAAGCAGGGCAGGGTCCTGAGAGTCCACCTGTGTGGTCCCCTGTGTGAATAGGGCTTATTGGAGCTCTCTTTGGGGTGGGACTTAAGTTTGTTTACTTGGTTTGTGTGGGTCTCCCAGGAGGAACCTGTCACCCAGAGCTATGGGGAAACTGAGACCAGGGGACTGTGCTGAGTTGAGAAGCTACAATCTGAAGGCTGGTCACCTTGGGGGCAAACTGAAGGGGACAGCTGAGCAACTAGGAGCAGGGAGTCAGGCAAAAAAGTAGGCTGGTCAGGTGTGGTGGACCTGGGCATTTCTGAGGGACATCCTCTGTGTGTCACGATGGTTCCTAGGAGAGCAGATTGGGCTTGAGGGCAGACACTGTGGGCTGATCTGAAGGGGTGCATGGCATTTTCCTCAATCTCTTTGAGGACAAATGACCTAAAATTCATCCAATGTGGAGACGAAATGCTTGGGATTTTAGATTTAACATTACCATACTTGAGAGGGGGCAGCACCTGTGGCTCAGTGAGTAGGGCGCCGGCCCCATATACCAAGAGTGGTGGGTTCAAACCCAGCCCCCGGCCAAACTGCAACAAAAAATAGCCGGGCATTATGGCAGGTGCCTGTAGTCCCAGCTACTCAGGAGGCTGAGGCAGGAGAATCGCCTAAGCCCAGGATTTGGAGGTTGCTGTGAGCTGTGATGCCACAGTACTCTACCGAGGGCGATAAAATGAGACTCTGTCTGAAAAAAAAAAAAAAAAAACCATACTTGAGAGGGAGAGGCAAAGGGATCACACGCTCATGAGCATGGTTGACCTTGTGGGCTGCGAGTGTCAGACTCTGCTCTAACTGGGTGGTTTCAGCTCCCCACAGCCTGGAGCAAGCCTGTCCCCAGGACCCCTGCCCTGCTCCTTCCTCCTCACCTCAGATAGCAACACTGCACCTGATTACTCTGACCAACAGGAGCTTGCCACGAACCCCACTTCACATGCTCGAATGACTCCACGCCCACTGAGCCTTTGTGCTCTCTTAAAATCTCAAACCAGCTGTAGTGTCTGAGAGTCTCTCGTACACATGTGAGCAGAAAGAGCCCATTTCACTAGCTGTGAACATCTGCCCTGTTGGTGCCCACAGAAATAGTTGGCATATTGTGCTGAGAAACCTCAGACAGCCTACTGCCTAAGTGACCTATAGCGGCCCTAAGGGAATCCTTAGAGGCAGATGCCTGTTTCTAAGCAATGCTCTCGAGACCCCCTCTCACATCCCCTAGGAGCACATTACGTGAGTCTGAAACACCTCTTCTCCCTGGAAGGATCCTGCCACCCCTGTTCCCGCTCCTCTGCATCCCACACTGTGACACCGGGGACCTCTGAGCCAAGCTCTTGGCCTCTTCCTCTTCCTGGCTCTGCTTACAGAATGTGAATTTCACTTAAAACCTCCTCTTTCCTTGGTAAAATAATAACAGCTGTGTAATGGGGGAGTGTTCTTTCCTCTGTAGGTTTGACATCAATGAACAAAAGAACTGTGTCACCTCCAAAGGAACCTCCTCCGCCTCTTCCTTTTTCTTCATCATCCTCTTCATCTTCCCTGCCATCTTCTTCTTCTTCAGCCAGTAACCCTAGGCCTGCTCTGGAAGGCTCCTCTCCACCTCAGGTGAGTGCCCCTGTGGGCCCTGCACAGCTGTTAGAAGCTGAGCTGCCCGTACACCTCCCACTTTCCTCTTATAACTCAGGATTCTAAGTGCTCTTAGGTCAAGTGCAAAGTCAGCACCAGAGAAATACTCTGCCAAAGATCTACCCCAGCCTTCATCACACGTGCCTTTCATGAAAGCTCATGCTGTTCCTTGGGCCACGCCCAAGTCACTCCCTCAACAAACTCCACAGGGTACAGATTTCCAGGTATTGGACTGCACTGGGGATGCAGAGAAGCTAAGACACACGCTCTTCCCTTGCAGGATTCTCTGAGGGTATGAGGAGCTCACAGCTAAAAGATAGGTAGGCACAGAAGTGAGGGTGCCTCTGGCAGCATCCAGGAACCTTGGAAGCAATATCCTCCTTGAACAGAAAATGTCATGGTTGACATGCAGGGCTGGACTCTCTCCTCCCACATGCACTTGTCAAGCTCCTATTACCTGCCAGACTCTGTTCTAGGCTCTGGGAAATGGAGTATACAAAACAGAAAAGATGTGTGCTCTTATGAAGCCCCCAGCCCCTGGCCTGTCCCTGGGCACCAGAACTCTTAAAAGGCATAGCCAGTCCTTCTAGAATCCACTCATGTCCTCCCTTTACCAAGAGCCACATTCCTTCACGCTGGAAGTAGCTACTTCCTCAATGGTGCAAGGTGTGAGGTTCAAAGAGGTCATCAGAAGGCCCTACAGGCCATCCTCCTGCCACCACAGCTCTAGCCCAGAGGGTGGCTATTTCTCCCTATGGTGATGGCTTCTGAGGAAGAAGCATTGTTTTCTTCCAATGTGTGGAGGAACACACCTATGGGTGGCACCTGCCCCTTAGTAGGACCATGGCTGGGTATGGCAAGAAAGAGCTTGTCTCCCCCTAGGTGCCTGGTCACCTGCAGAGGCCAGGCCAGCCCTGTCATGGCCCGAGAGCTTGTCAACATCAGGGTCCACCCCTTTGCCTTCCCTCTTGCTTCCTGCCCACATAATCTGGGACCTACAAAAGCCTTTGATCAGACAGATCCTGCAGGACCCAAGGCAGCAACATTGAATTTGGGTATCTGAGATGTAGAGGAAAGAAGGGAGGAGGTTATAAATTGAGATTTGCCTTCTTCATATAAAATAAAGGCTGGGAATTTTTAAACACCTGCATTTCTGCCCATCCCCTGTAGGTGACGGCTTATGATCCCCCTTCACAGGATTTGAGAGGTCATCACAGTCCTTCCACTCCAATCTTTCTGAGGCGAGCCAGAGCCCAAGGTGGACCCAAGGATATTCCCCTGTATCTGCCTCATCACCCAGCACTGGAGTGGGCAGAATACTGCCTGGTGAGCCCCGGGAAAGATGCAAGCCCTGCTGAAAAGGCCTCCAATGGATGCCAGGAGGCAGAGGCCCCTGCTGGGGACACCAGATGCAACCACAGAGACCCACACCTTATTGGGGGCAAGGACAGGTGCTCGCCAGCCATGAGAGATGAAGAAGACCCAAGAGAAGGGAGCACTGGACCCAGGAGGGAGGAGGAAGGTGGGTCAGACCTGGCAGGAGAGAAGAAGTGTGGCTTAAAGAAGTTAGTCCTCACTCAGGAGCAGAAGACCAAGTTGCTGGATTGGAATGAATCCGTCCCCCAGAGGGCGCACCTCCAGGCTGGGGAGCGACTGTCCCAGAAAAGCGCTGAGAGTGGGCGAGGAGGGCGAGGGCTGAAACCAGTCTGTCCCTTGCTTCTCCCTCAGGTGGCCAAAGAGACCCTGCCGACCCAGAGGGAAGCCTGGGAGGAGATGGGGTCCCCCGCAGAGCAACCCACAGGGGAGCCCAGCGTGCCTCCACCCAGGTCGCCCCTGCGTGTCATCACCAATGCCATCCGGAGGTCCCTCTTCCCTAGCTCTGAAGGTGGGAAGAAGGCCTGGGCCAAGCCAGACTCCAAAACTTTGCCCACTCCCACCTCCACTCGCTCGTTCAGCTTTTGGAAAACCAGTTCCAGTAAGGACCAGGACCCGCACTCCCCGAGGAGAACCATGGCGGGCAGGGCATCAGCCTTCTTCTCTCTGGGCACCCAGGCTGCCAGGGCCGCGCAGTCCTCGGACCTCAGCCCTCCTGACCCTGCCCTCCGCACCCGCAGTTTGCCCAATCGGCCTTCCAAGGCCTTTCCTGCACTCCTGTCCCCATCCTGCAGCACGAGTGAGGATGTCCCTACACTCCTGGAGAAAGTGAGTTCGCAAGAGACCTTCTCGGATGCTTCCAGGGTTCCAAAGAAAAAAATCGCGCTTTTTTCCTCTCTCAGACTCAAAGACAAATCTTTTGAGAGCCTCTTCCAAGAAGTCAGGCAAAGAAAGGACATCCGGGACCTCTTTGGCAGTCCCAAGGGGAGGGCGCAACCCGTGCTTCCGGAGAAGCTGGCGCAGCCGCTCAGCAGCGCCTCCCTGCGGCGGGCGGGGCCTCCCGCTGCCCCGGAACCTGCAGGTAAGCGCTGCTTCCCTACCAGACATCTCCGTGTCCTCGCGGGGTTAGCAAGCCGGCTCCTTTCACTTTGTTTTTGGCTTCTCGAATTCCGATGAAAGTAGGAAAAGTTGAAGTTGAAACTTTTGAAAAAATAATCTGAAAAAGTTAGTTCTGAAATTATGTTATAGAACGTGTTGAAAAGCGACAAAGCGTCCACCCTAATTCTACCGCTCTCCCACTCGTGTTTTTTGCGGGGTTGTCAACATTTTTACCTCTTTTAATCAACATCTCTTCATAGGCATTATGCTCATTATCACAGTCTATATAAATATGACTTAATAGAATAGTGTGTCTAGTGAGTATGTTATCATTTCGTGAATTATTTCCTTGTTGTTTAACTTACAGGTATACTTGTATGTAAATTATAAGTGAATATTTTTATATTTTACATATGGTGTTGAATGAACATCTTTACACGTGAACCTCTTTTCTTTCCTTTGAATTACTTACCTAAATACTTTTATATATATATGGGAGACATAGGCCTTTTTATATTTAAATCTGATTAATTTTTTTAAATTCTAAAATCATGAATATGTAAAAAAAAAAAAAACAGAAGAATCCAACAATATGAAAATATCTAATGAAAAGTAAAATGCATTATGTCATCCGCTCTCCTCCTCGCCAAAGTTTTAGTATATTCCTTTAGAGACAGTGTAGCTAAACATTTACATGTGTCTTTTTCTTGTTGACATTTCTGTGATTGCTCTAAACAAACTGTAATTCTACTATCTCTATTGTCGAACAACTTGGTTTTTCTTTATTTTTTTACCCTTTTGTTTTTTAAGTTTTACTCTGTAACATTAGTTTGTAAGTCAAAGTTATTTATCTTCTTTGATATTATAATCAAACAGCTAAATAGATTACAAGAGATTTCATTGTAGCCAAGTTCAGGGTAAGCATGGACAGGCTGGAGTATAAGTATACCCTGTATCACACATTGTAAAATTTAATGTCTTGTGCCTTTTTTTCTTTTTCTTTTTTTGCAGTTTTTGGCCAGGCTGGGTTTGAACCCGCCACCTCTGGCACATGGGACCAGCGCCCTATGCTTTTGAGCCACAGGCGCCCCCATGTTGTGCCTTTTTTGATGGCTAATACATTTATATGGTTCAGAAACAAAGGCACAAAAGGCACCAAATGAAAAGTCCTCTCTCTTTTCATCATCCCTTATCCATCGTGTCCCATCCCGGATAGAAGGTGGTATTGTCAGTTTCTTGGGAATTTTGTAGGCAGAATTTACAACTATCAGAGCAAATTTATATGTTATATTATTTCTTTTTTTTTTCTACACAAATGATAGCATGTAGCATATTATACACATCTTTTTTAGTACTTTTTGTTTTCTTTCTTTTTTTCTTTCTTTCTTTTTTTTTTTTTTTTTTTGAGACAGAATCTCACTTTGTCACCTTTGGTAGAGTGCCATGGTGTCATATCTCACTGGAACCTCAAACTCTCGGGCTCAAAGGATTCTCTTGTTTCAGCCTCCCAAGTAGCTGGGACTACAGGCACCCACCACAATGCCCAGCTATTTGTTTAGAGACGGGGGTCTTACCCTTGCTCAGGCTGGTCTCAAACCTGTAGCTCAAGCAATCCACGGACCTTGGCCTCCCAGAGTGCTAAGATTACAGGCGTGAGTGACCGAGCCCAGCCTATTTTTTTGTTTTCTTTTGGAGATCATTCCATATTAGTACATGAAGAACTTTCTTCTTTATTTTATAACTGTACAGTATTCCATTCTACATAGATGGGCCACAATTTATGTAGCTAGTCGCTTATGATACAGAGTTTAAATCATTTCAAATCTTTGGCGATTACAAACAGTGCTACAATTAGTCACTGAGTACTTAGGCCATTAGGCGTATGTGTGACTTTATCTGTAGGACAAACTCCCAGAAGTAGAAATGCTGGAACAAAAGACATGTGAATCGGAAATTTTGACAGTTCTTGCCAAGTTGCCCTCCATTACAATGTACCAGTTTACGCCCCCTGCAGGGAAGTATGAAAACACTATTTCTGCACTTGTGCTAATTGGTGCATTAACCAATCTGATAGTGAAACCTAGATCTTTAAATTCCATTTCTCTCTTAGGGAGGTGATGGAGCATCCCTTCATATGTTTTTTTGTTTATTTGCTTTTTAAGAGAGTCTCACTTTGTTGCTCTTGTTAGAGTGGCATGGCATCATACCTTACAGCAACCTCGAATTCTTGGGCTCAAGTGATTCTCTTGCCTGAGCCTCCTGAGTAGCTGGGATTACAGGCGCCTGCCACAACACTTGGCTATTTTTTAGAGAATGGATCTCGCTCTTGCTCTGGCTGGTCTCCTTAGCTCAAGAAATCCGCCTGCCTTGCCTCGGTCTCCCAAAGTGCTGGGATTACAGGATGAGCCACTGCACCTGGCCATGCCTTTGTATGTAAAGAGTCATTGTATTTCCTTTTCTGTGAATTGTTACTTCTGTCCTTTGCGTAGCTTTCTACTGGTTTGTTGGTATTTTTTCTTAGTGATCTGTAGGAACTCAATTAAAAGGGAAATCTGGCCCTCTTTTGTGATGATAGGAATTACAGACTTTTTTTTCTAGTGCTTGTTTGTGCGTAACTTTGTTTATGATGGGTTTTGTTGCATAAAATTTCTGTTTTCATATGGTAGTTGTAAATACCTTTTTTGTTTCATACCTCCTGGGTTTTATAGAATAGTTTAGAAAGAGCACCTTTCCAGTTTATATAAGAAAATTCTCACACACCCCACATACACACGAGGACACTGTTGCTTCCACGTTTCAACTCACGATACACACTTCTGTACAATGGAGAGAGGGCTCGTCCAAAATGAAGTACTCCAAATTTATGATCACTTGACTAAGAGCCATGTTGAAGCTTAATTTTTTGTCATTTTAAGACAAGTTTCTAAAAACTTGTAAGTAAATGAATGGTGTACATAAACTCATTGGCATATTCAGATGACTTAGAGGCAGAAACTAATTTCAGGTACTTACTTGTGCTCATTTTATATCATTTTAATGCTAGCTATCATAGTTGTATATAACTAAAGGCACCTTGAGAACCGTTTTTATTTTTGCATAAACATTTTTCTTGCAGGATAACATGTAAAGTTCACAAATACTGAGTCTGCCACTGCTGAACTTATGCGAAGTGCAAATTGTGTGATCACCTCCGAGTTCAGGCTATAGAACAGTTACCAACACCTAGAAGACTCTCTTAGGCTTTCCCTCTATTATATGTCCCACCCAACAAAGGTACTTACATCTGCCTCTCATGATCTTGGATTACTTTCGCAGATTTTTTTTTTAACTTTATAAAAATCAAATCATTCAGTATTGTGGGAGGCAGAAGGGCAAGGAGGGCCCCATGCTTCCTGCTCCTGGTGCGCTTGCCCTGTATAATCTAGCCCTCTGGAGTGTGGTGGGAACCTGAAATATGATGGGTTTCACTTCATCCCGTGATTAGGTTAGGGGATTGTGCAGATATAATTAAGTCCCAAACCACTTTACTCTGAGTTAATCAAAAGGGAGATTATCCCTGGTGGGCCTAACTTAATCAGGTGAGCCCTAATAAGGATTTTCTGAAGTCAGAAATTGTATTCAAAGCCTGAGAGAGACGTGATCCTGTTGGCGTCCAAGAAGTAGTGAACTGCCACGTTGTGAGAGGGCCTGTGAACAGGAGGCTTCTGGGAGCTAAGATAGACGTCCAGCTGACAGCCCACAAGAATAGGGGTCTGTGCCCTACAACACTAGTAACCTAAATCTGCTCACAGATTGAATGAGCTTCGATGCATACCCTGAGCTGCAGATGAGAACTGCCGCCCAGCTGATAGCTAGGTTGCAGAGTTTTGAAACCCTGAACAGAGGACCTTGTTGAGCCATGTCTGGACTTCCGATCTGCTGAACTCTAAGAGGAAAAATCGGTGTTGCTGTAAAGGTGCTGAATTTGTGGTCATTGGTTCCACAACCATAGAAAACCAATGCAAGCATGTCCTCTTTCGCGCCTGGCTTCCTTCATTAAACCTTATGGTGTGGGGGGATTTATCCGCGCTGTTATGTGTAGAAGTGGTTTGCTCTTTTCCACTGTTACATTTTTTTTAATTGTATGCATCTGTCATAATTTATTTGTTACCTTCTGTGGCTGGGCATTGAGGTTGTTTTCAGTTTTTACTGTGAATGATGCTTTTTTGAGCACTCTCATACATATTTTGGGGGGCATAGACATACTTATTTCTGTTGGGTATTGCCTAAGATAAATAAAGCTGGACACTAATTAAATCAGAATTGTAATAGGGAAGAGGTTTCAGAGGGAACTGAACTCAACTCCAATTTCTACAGCAGTGACTGGGTATTTTACAGGGAAGAGGAGGAAGGCAGTCAAGCAGGGGCTCAGGAGGAGCAGGGAGCACCAGACTCCCAAAGGGCTGGCAGTGTAAATGCAGGCTGGCTGTGTCTATTAGTTGATAATTAATAAGGGAAGAGTTCTGTCTTCCCATAGAGACATGAGACAGTGGTCCTTTACTTCCTGAGTGCATTTTAAAGGAATGAATGGCTTTCAAATCCTTGAAAAAGCCACTTCTGAATTGTAGACAATGTCACAAAGGGACAGAGGAGGGATTCACAGTCGCAACCCCTTTTTAGTAAAAGTTCTAAGAACAAGTCCTGGGGGTGCCTATCATCAGATGTTGGCTAAAACAAACAGTAAATTCTTTTGGTAACCTTGAGCTCTCCCCACCAGGTACTTGAAGGGGGAGCCAAGTCATCCTACAGATTTGGTCTTAAGCCCTTAGAAACTATGTTAGTGTTTGTTTAAGTCTTTAAATGTGGGGCAAAGGGGATAGATAAAGCCGTTTGGGTCGAGGGTCTGTACATTTTGCAGGCCAAGGTGGAGGCCTAGTTGAGAAGAGGACTCAGGAGCCTGGCTACAATCTTTGTTAGTGTATACCGAGGAGTGAGTGGCATTGC